TGGTGGAGCGTATTGAAGATTCTCCTCAATCATGAATATTATTTTAGTTAGTAATTGTGAGTTCTCCTGCTGTACAATATTTTAGACCTTGTTTAGTAAGTCGGTGGCTCCCTAAACTCCAGGATTCGCTTGCAACAATTGATGGCTTATGAGTATTTATTGTTCAGGTATAGTAGGAAGTGAAAGAGGTCAGTGTGATCGTCCACCATGGTGAGGATGTTGTGTGGATCTAAAGAATGGGAGAGTTTGGAGTGATCCTAGACAACCTCTTGAAGGACCAAAATTTTGTCGCGTAGTTGAGATGTAGATGCCACAAGAATTGGATTGTCTTCAACAAGTGGATGAGGAGAAAGATGTGAGTTTTTAGCAACTTCAATGATTGTAGCAACATCTTTCCATGGAACGATAGATCAAGTGACTTTGAACGTCAGAATGCTTAATGAAGCTGATGATAGATCTGTTCGAGGAAGAGGTTGAAACTTTAAGAAAGAAGATTGGTGATCTATATTTTTGGTGGAAAACGATAGTTTTTCGTGGAAATTTACAGGAATAATAAATCGATTTACACAAACAACACCAATGTGTGATTGGGAACTAGAAATCAAGGTGAGATGGTGAAGTTGTGTCTTGCTGCGGTGGATAAGTAGTTCTAATGCAACGGAGAAGGGGCTGACCTGCAAAGTTAGAATTCTAACGCTCAAGTCAATGAGAGAAATTAGAAATTATGTGTGAGTGAGAATGAATTTGAATACCTAAAATGACGCAATTTACACTTATATACCTACATCGGTTAAAAATCACTTGTGTGTGATGCGACGCGTAGTGAGATCAATCGTCAAGTTATAACGGATGGTAATTGACGTGTTGGAGGATGGAATTATGTGTTACTAGTTAGAACGAACGTCCACCTATCTGGTGCTTCTTTCAACTCGAGATTCACTCTTGAACCTTTTGTTATGGACCTCACAAACAACCCAAAACATTAACCCATCTTAAAATTATTTCATTCAATATATATATATATATATATATATATATATATATATATATATATTCTCTTTCTCTTCACGATATCATTCATAGAGACAAAATTTGAATCAAAAACACTTTTGTCTAACTAAAATGACCTTGTATATTACATTGTTTGTAGCCATCCTCTTCATCGTGCTCTACAATATATGGAGAGCCAAAAAAAATGTGCCTCCAAATTGGCCAATAATTGGCATGTTACCATCAGTTTTTCATAACAAATCCAATATTCATGATTTTGTAACCTCGGGAATGAAATATTATGGAGGTACTTTGCGTTTCAAAGGTCCTTGGTTCACAAACATTGCCAACTTTATCCTCACCAGTGATCCCGTGAACGTGCACCACATCACTAGCAAAAATTTCAGTAACTATGGAAAAGGATCTGATTTTCATGAGATTTTTGAAACCCTTGGTGTTAGTATTATAAACTTGGATGGCAATGCATGGAAACAAGAGAGGGCACTACTTCATTCATTCCTCAGAAGCAAAAGTTTTGAGACATCCCTTCAACAAAACATTCACAAGAAGCTAGAGAATTGCCTTTTACCATTTCTTGATCACCATGCATCAAAAGGTGCACAGGTACTTGATTTACAAAACATTCTTGAGAGGTTCACTTTTGATGTTACTTGTACTTTTTTATTTGGATTTGATCCTAATTGCCTTCCTCACAAGTTCAATGATGAGTTGTTAGACACTTCTTTTGTAAAAGCTATTTATATGCTTGAGGATATGGTGTTATCAAGACACTATATTCCAAAATGCTTTTGGAAGCTACAAAAATGGCTACAAATTGGCCAAGAGAAGAAGCACAAAGCAGCTCAAGAAATTCTTCACCAATTCTTGTCCAAATGTATAGCTTTTTCCAAAGGCGTTGATGAAAGTCATTTTTGCTTGCTAAAGGAACTAATGAAAGAAAAAAAGGCTGACAATGAGAAGTATATTAGAGACACTGCAGTGAGTCTCTTAGGTGCAGGAAATGGAACAATAAGTTCAGGTCTAAGTTGGTTCTTTTGGCTTGTTTCAACTAATCCTATTGTTGAAACAAAAATCATTCAAGAAATCAAAGATTATTGTCATGCAAATGATGATAATTTAATGACTAGTTTAAGTGTGGAAAAGCTTAATAAGCTAGTTTATCTTCATGGAGCTATTTGTGAAGCTTTGAGGCTTTATCCACCTATACCATTTGAACACAAATGTGCTATAAAATCTGATATTTTACCTAGTGGAGATTATGTTAGTCCAAATACAAAGTTAATATATTCTTTGTATGCTATGGGAAGGATGGAGAAAATATGGGGTAATGATTGCTTGGAGTTCAAGCCAGAGAGGTGGATATCGAGTAGAGGAGGTATTGCTTATGTACCATCTTACAAGTTTATAGTGTTTAATGCAGGTCCAAGAAGTTGTTTGGGAAAAAGTATTACCTTTGTTCAAATGAAAATGGTTGCAGCTGCTTTGTTATGGAAGTTTCATATAGAGACTGTTGAAGGTCACACTATTGCTCCTAGGGTTTCTATGATTCTGCGTATGGAATATGGACTTAAGGTCAAAGTTAGTAAGAGATGCATTTGATGTAAGGAATCAAATTCACTTTACTCGATGATTGACATATTCACGCATTCGGTACATCTATGATCGTTGATTGAGATAAGATAATCTGATTTTGATCAAACGATCTCGAATAGCGACTTCGAGAATACATGAAAGTCAGAAATAAGCATTATAAGTTTTGTTAAGTTGAGTGTGTTTGCTTCAACCTATTTGCATGTGATTGTTTATTATGTATTTTTAGTTGTGTTTCCCTTTGTTAATTTGTTAGTTATTTCTAAGTGTTATTCAAAAGAAAAAGGGAAAAAAATGTCATCTTGTAAAATCTTAGAATTTATTCAATGAAATTTGTAGTTTTTATTTGATACAGAATCTCTATTTATGTATTTTTGGGATCTCAACCATTATTGTTTTGCTCAAACTTTAAATTTGGTTTTGCATAGTAAAACAACTTCAATAGTTGATTTATGATTCTGACTTTATTTCACATGTAAACTATTGTCTATATGTCAGTAACAGAAATAAATACTATCATAGGTTTGTGTAAAAATACTATTTCTGAAATCATTGTAAGCACACATTTTATATTTTACTTTTATAAAATAAAGTATAATAATATAATTTTGTATAAATATAAATAAGTGATTGATATTTATAAATTAATAATTTAAAAATATATATAAAACATATATTTTTATGTGTAAAATATATCACACTTTTTATAAGTAATGTTATATTATAATAAAAGTATGAGAATTTTTTAATACACTTTTTATTGAAATAAATTAAATTTTTGAAAATTTTAATTTGCTCTTTGAAGACGTATAACTCAACGAATTATAAAATGATTTAAAAAAATTGTTTTAAAGATGTATCTTCGAAAGTATTTTAAAGATGTGAGAATACGTGTTTTAGATATGCATATCCGAAATACTAGACAAAATAGTTGTCAAAAATAGAGATTTGTTTTGGTATTTTTTTAAGAAAAACATCAATACTGATACGTAATAAGCACAAAAAATTGATACGTAATTCGGTTAAAACATTAATAAACACATAATCGAAAATGATATGAACATAACAATGAATTGTTTAGAAATACCAAAAAATAATACATAAATTGTTCAGAAAGTACGGAATGAAATGATTACATCGATAAATAAAAAAAGACATAGCCTACTATGTATGCCTAATCGTAACCCTCTGGTCCCTCCTCTGCCTCCTATATCCCGTCGCACTCGATGTCTCTCTAACCATCCTCTCCACGGTGGCCACCGTCTCAGGACCGCCCCTCTCAATGATCTCTAAGTCTAAAACCTCATGCCCAATCAACTGTATCCGCTGACAGATCGACAAGAGATCAGTGGCATGGTTATACTGGGCATGCTGGTTCTCCAAGATCTCCTTGGGTTGCTGCTCATTATCCCGAAACGAGGACGCATGAGACAAGCGACTCCTCGGAGTAGAAATAGATGCTCCCGCCACTTCCTCTCGGGGTACCTGACCATATCCTCGACCTCTAGTAGATTGTTCAGCTCTCTCACGCCGAACAGAGACAGTCTGGCTTGACCTGCCAAGTATTAATCTGTTGTTTGGATTCTCAGCCATTTTCTTGAAAAAAAATCATTACTCAAAGGGAAGGAACAAATTTGAAAAAATTAATTAAAAAAAAACTCATGCATAATTTCAGATGTTTTTATCTGAAATTACTCAGAGGGATTTTCGGATAAGCACATCCGAAAATACTTGTGACTGTTATTTTTGAGCAGTTGAGGTTTCTTGCTCTAAATTACCTAAACAGCCATATTTTACAAGTTATACTTCAACCTACTAAATTTAAATAATTATAAATAACTTATTACACACATGCAAAAAAAATTGTGTCAAACATATATATCTGAATACCCTTTTAAATATGTAATGTATTGAGTTCAGATATACATACTCAAATATTTAAAATATATTTTAGTTTTTGCTAAAGACCTTAAAAAACATAGAAGTGTATTAAAAATTCCTTAAAAATATAAGATATTCCGTTTCATTATAGTAAAAAAAAAAAAAGTCCGAGTCCAACGCCATAGCCACATAGTTGAAGAAAATTTTCACTATCCAAACAAGCATAAGAACCTCTCATATTACAATTCTAGCCTAGTTCAAGCATAAGAACAATTTTTAAAAAATTATTTCTATTGATTCTATTTCAAAATATGATTTGTTGATACATTAGTATTTCTTAATATATCTAAATTGCAAATCATTCTCAAATATATATTTTATTAATATTTGATCTTTGAATTTATTTTTGGATAAGTTTTCAAATGTATATATTTTATTCATTAGTTTAATCATAAAAATTTTAAACGAAAAAAGTGGTTGAAAATAAGTTAACTTAGATATATTTATATATTATAGTGCATCTTTTTATTCAAATCCATGCATGCTATACATTTTTTCTTTTTATTCACTACCAAAGTAGCAAAAGCGTGTCATATAATCATTATGCCTCTCAATTCACAAATTTCTAAAACTCCGCTATTCACATCATGTGATCTTTTCTGAATTACATTTACAACCTCTTAAAATCTGTCTGCTCAATCTTGACATTAGGAAGAAATGCATTATTTTGTGCTACGATGTCTTAAGTACACATGCATTGGGTGTCATGCAACATGCACATCAATGCCACCTCTTTTATTATATATTGCAGCTGTTTAGAAACTCAGGTAAAAAAATTGGGAATTTTTTTACACCATTGTCACACTTAAAAAAATAATTCAAAATGTCACATTTTTAAAATTAATATTGTATTGGTATATTTGCAAGAATACAAAGGAGGCTATACATAATTTACAAAAGATAAGTGGATAATACTCATTGTCCATAGCAAAGTCGATAGTCGCCCCTTTGTTGTAATGCACACTCAATTATCATAATGCGCACCCACCATATGTAGCGAGCGTCCTTTGATTAAGTTACTCGCCCACTTATGAAAACTTAGGGAGTGACATGTCCACACTCAGCAACGACATGGAAGAAAGTCAAAGAATGGGGTGACTTTCTCCAGAATAAGGGAAGTAACTTCTAATTTCCTATGCATATGGAGTATATGAGTGTTGATACTAATGAGAAATAAGTGTGAGTTGTGTAAGTCTCACATTGTTTAGAAAAGTGAAAGTTTGGCACTTTATAAGTGAGATGACTCATGCATCCATTGTCTTAAGGTTTTGGATGAATAAGTGGTGTCTCTCTCTCTCTCACTTGTTTGAGTGAGCCTTTGACCTTTAGGTGAGTCTTTAACCCAATGTGGATGCTTCTCTCTTATGAACACCCAACAATAGTATCAAAGATGATGATTCGAGTAAGAGATCAACTTTTTGTATCGAAAGTCTTCTTGACATGGTGATCAGGCGGTGCATCCTATTGAAGTGTTTGTGACATGGTAAGGGTGTTTGTCAACAGCAATACAAATATGTGGATGAAAGAAATTCCGCTTGAGGGGAAACATAGTGGATAGACTCACGCTAGTTGAGGAGAATATTGAGAAACAAGTGTGAGTTGTGCAAGTCCCACATTGCTTAGAAAATTAGAGGTTGAACACTTTATAAGTGAGAGGACCCATACACCCATTACCTTATTGTTTTGGGTGAATATGTTATGTCTCTCTCAATTGTTTGGGTGAGCCTTTGAACTTTAGGTGAGTCTTTGACCCAATATGAATGCTTCTCTCTCATGATGATCCATCAATTACTACTTTTTTTGGAGTCTAAGATCCAGGTCCATGATCCCAGCGTGAACTTGCTCTAACGCCATAACAACTCAATAACCCTTAGACAATTCTACATAGCTAGAGATTGTCACTCATAGTATATTTAGCAAGTACAGTTAGTGTCTATCATGGTCACACTCATTATCATTTACCACTCATTTTCGCCACCTTCCCCTAGACGATGGAAAAACAAAATTCTAAAATTACTATTAACACCATTGCCAAAGGTTTCATCAGCAAGGGGATAATACATCTCTTTCTGCAAAAAGACATGTCAAGCAAGTTTTGACCATGAATGTCATACCCATAGGCTTGAAGATAAACATGGAGAGGGATCCATAATCCAAAATCATTTTATCCTGCAAAGACGCCATCAACGTTCTCCCTCACAATAAATATCACATGATTATCACAGTATAATATGATGATTGGGATGTGAAGCAAGTATTGATTGACCCTGGAAGCTCAACAATTTTTTTATTCTATAGTGCCTTTAAAGGGATTCATCTTGACTCAAATGACATCTGAACATTTCAAGGTTTCTGAAAAGAATAAGTGCAAGTGAAAGGTCCCATAATGCTCACAGCGAAGTTTGGTTCAGAGGAAAGAGCAAAAATAGTGAATTAAGTTATCTTGTAATAAACGACTTATCTCCATATAATGCCATCCTATGGCGGCTCACCCTTAACTTATTGGGGGAGGTCTTGTCCACCCTTCATTTGAGTGTGAAGTATTCTCTATCTAGAGAGTGGGTTGGAATGGTTCAGGGAGAGCAGAAGGTCGCCAAGGAATATTATCAAAATAGTCTAGAAATGAGTATGGAACAGGTTGTCGCAATGGCCGTCCTTTATCCATACACACAAGAAGTAGATGATACAAGTTGGGATCCTAGATTAGGGGTAGATAACGAAAGGATCACTCCCATGAAAGACTTTAAGGAGGTCTGGATTGGACCTTTAGACCATCAAGATAACAAGCTATGCACCTCTATATACAAGGAAAAGTTGGTCACCCTGTTGAGGAAGAACATAGATTTGTTCTCTTGGGTGCCCTTTGACATGTTAGAGATATATATGAGAGTGTGTGGATCTATGTGCTTTCAGGTATATTGTAAATGTGATCGAAGGTGGTGAAGTTAATTGATAGAAAAGTTGGAATCAATTGATTAGTTATTTGGTTTTGATGATGATAACACCTAACACTAAAACATATCCAATGAAGTTCTTATTTGGTGAAAATGGCTTAAGCAGTTGAAGAT